AGAATCTTTGGTGAGGATAATCTAGAGTCTGTGCTTTCAGACACGTCTCTGGTGATTTTAATACGCAGCCCATTAGAAGCCATCTTTCTAGCTCAAGAATTCATTTTATGGTTGGGCAAACGAAAGCCCCATGAGAAAACGTTAAGTTTCCCCAAGTTATTTTACCAATTAGTGTTATGGTACGGAGTGCGAGAAGTGACCACCGAGAGACCGGATTGAGCCAAATTGTGAGTCTTTATCAGCTGGCCAGCAACCGCCCTCTGCACCGCTGAGAGGCAGCAGCACGGAGGGCAGCCCCGAGCCAGGAGAGATGGGCTCTTTTAAAGGCAAAAACCACACCCTTTAAAGTCATCTTTCTGCGCGAGCAGGGTTACGGAAGCCTAGATCAGCATTAATCATTATTAATCTGAGTCAAAAATACATTTAACATTTTGTTTTAAGTCAGATTACATTCTACTCCCTGTTATCCGGGTACATGAGGCACCCCTGGGCGTTTCAGTGCTCCAGGGCGTTCCGGCCCTCTGGGCTAGCTGTTACTTTATCTTGTTGATACTTGCAGCTGTGTGAAGCATACCCTCCTCCCCCTTTCCCCCCTTATTCTTTGCTTAAGCAGACTGACAGAAGCGAGAGAGCAGGTTATTTCCCATAGACCTCAACAGTTAGCGGTGACAAAGGAAAAGAAATGGAAAGCTCTGGAGGGTCTTGCATGGGCACCGCGTTCTGGCTCAGACATGACACACGTTGCTTCATCTCCTCCCTGATCGGTTAAAACGAATTATCCCAATTTTGATGGTAAACGGACAGTCACAGCAGCCAACAGCCTCGTCTTGCGAAGCCCATGAAGACCAGGGCTGAGCCCTCCAGGCTGAGGGTGTGAGTCAATCCTGAAGGGAGGCAACCTCGAGCAGCAGAGGTGCTGGCGGAGGCCGAGGGAATCTAGAATGAGTGTCTGAGCAGGCAGTGACCAGCACCCTTTACAGTCTCGAGGTCAGCTGCAGCAGCTGTGTGTGTGGGTGGGCTGGGGTTTACTTCACCCCAATAACCTTCCCCTTGCAAGCTTCCCCAAAGAAAAGAGGCTCAACGCATTCCTGGATGGGTTTCCAAAGCACATTATATAAACACGCGCATCTGAAGCGTACAAAGGGCGGGCCCCCTAGTGGAGCCCGGGGCGAGCTGCCCAGGTTTTTCTCTCCCAGGGCCTAAGTGCTTCTTCCCCAGCTGCTGGGCGTGTTGGCAGCCAACAGCCCTCGGCTGAGCTTCCTCTGTGGGACCCGGCCTTGGCTGAAGAGAGCCACCTTGCCCAGAGTGGTGTCCTGTTCCAGGAAGAGCCTGCAGCCACGACTGGATGGGATCGGGTAGGAAAGCCTGGTGCCTGTGCTCACTCAGGTTGTCGCTGTTCTAAAGCTCCCCGTGGGCTTGCTGGGGGATGGGCTGCGACTGCACCAAGATGAAAATTCTTCCTCTGCTCAGTCCTGCTCCCCACTCTCTCAGGACATGCTGCATGATCATTTTCATCTAAGAGTTTGCTGCCCAGAGAAGCCAGCTGGTGACATCCCTGGCTCCTGGCTGGGGCCCCTGTGCCATTGGAAGCTTAAACACCTCCAGTGCTTTGCACCTGCAGTGACACGCTCCAGGCGTGGTGATGTTATTCCCAGTTGGAGGTGAATTGCGTTCAGGATTCCTTGAAAGAGAAGAGAGAAAGCTTGGCACAGGGATGTCAGCAAATTCTGTTCAGGTCCTCACAAAAAGAGGGCACGTCTCCCCTCTGCTGCTCCTTCTTAATCCCCCTTTCAAGACCTGGCACCTGAGGGCACCTGCAGATCCCAGTGAGCCATTCCGTGGCCACCCCATGGCTGGTGCATGCCTCCAGGACATGCTGGACTTTGGAGGTACATCCCAGATTGGTGTTTAGGGCTGAAGTCTGCCAGGCTGTAGGAAAGGCAGAGAGGTTTTCTGTACCTGGAGTGAGGGTCAGGGATTGCTCTGAGTGGAAGCTGTTTTGTGGAGCCCGCAGCAGCTCTCGGATGGCTCCTGGTTTCCATGCTTCCCCCTGAGGCTCTCACAGAGAAGTCTTCCAGAAATAGAGCAGCTGTGCCAGTGACCTCAGCTCTGTCTGACTTGGGAGTGTAGCTGTAGAACCCTCTGCCAATCTTTCCGGCCGCAGTAGGTTAAGCTAGTGATGTTTTCCAGGGGAATACTCTCAGAGCAGATCTTGTCGGGTCATTGGTCAGATACTTTGAAAGATATTATTAATATCACCCCTCCTCTGGATGGGCTGCGTAGTCAGCGCCCACAGTAACACAGTGAGAAATATCAGTTCTAGAGATAACACTGAGGCCACCTGCCTCCCGGATCAGAGCTCTTCCTAGTGCCTTGTGACATTCACGTCGCTTTGTGCCACAGCCACCAAGTAGAGTGGCCCAAGGGGACTTCAGTGTGAATAGTGCCCCTGAGAGCCACGCAACACAGTGGCCCCGCTGGACAGAGTGTGACGCAGCAGGCCACTGGCCCTCCAGATCGGCAGCCCCAAACCATGCAGAGTTCCATCAGCAGGACACCCATAACCCTTTTCTACCCCTGGAGACATAGTTGGTCTCTGGGTACAGGCACAGGGGTCACGTGACTGATAGAGATGCAGGTTGATTTTACATGCTGAAGGGAAATCCCGAAGATGAGGTCTTGTCCATTTGACTGGAAGCTCTCAAGCTTATCAATTTAGGATATAAGGGAAGCCTAATAGAGGGAAGGGAATTTTCTGAGTCTAAGCAGTTAGCCTTTAACTGCAGCTTTGCGGGGCTCTAAAAGTTTCCATGTCTCCGTCCACAACGTTCAGCATTCCACCCTGCCTTGACCCATCCTGCTCCCGGTTACCTTTACCCTTCCCCACCTGCCGATGCTCTGGTTCCAGTGCGCAGTGCACAGCTGCTTCTCCCTTCCTCCCCCGATTGGGTTCATGGCTGCTGGCTGCCTGTCCTAAGCCCCTGTGGTCGCGGCGCTCCTCCCCACTGAATCACAACTTGCAATGCCTGTTATTAATAGTGTGACCACATGCTCCAGTTCGCGTGGGACAGTGTCCCTTTATATCCGTTGTTCCATAATAATTACTAATAGTGTCATGTTTTGCTCTCAAAAGCATCCTAACTTGGCTGATAAAAATCATATGTTCATCTTACTTATTACTGTCTGAATGGAGCCAAAACCCTGATAGTGAGAAATAAAAATAAAAATCCTAAGGTATCCAAGCTGACTGAACAAACCTTTTCTTAGCCAAGGGGTCCCCAGAGAAACCTTAAAAACTAAAATCCCAGCTATGACAGGATGGGAAGGCAGACATACCTCATAATACCCCTCCCTTGTTAACTACCTTTAAGCTTTCTTCCCTAAGGGTTAAACAGAACCAGCCCTTTGCAAAGACTTGTTCCATCACTGACTTCAGCCAATGCCTAATGCTGTTCCTCCCTTCTGTGGTTTCAGCACAACCGAACACTGTTTCTTTCTGATAAGAGGCCAGAAACCACGGAGTGGAATTGGCCTATCTACGGAGGATGTGCACAGAGGGATTTCATGGCCCCTGCTTCACCTTTTGAGGTCAGAGGGCCCCAAACTCCATCCTCAGATCATGCTAAGGCCATGTTTTTGTACATGTGACCTAGGAAGGGGCATGAAGCTCAGTTGTGCGTGTGCAGGTTTCTCTTTTCATAAACATTCTTGACTCCTGCGATAGCTTGTTAAATATGTATATTCAGCCACCCTGCTTAGCATAAATTCCTGTTCCCCTTACTATTCCCTCAAAGTGCTTGCTTTTTGCTTCTGGTTGGAGGCTATGTTCCCAGCCTGCAAGATGGCCAGCCTGCAGGCTGCAACCCTTCATGAGGAATAAAGCTCTCCTTTTCACACTTATGAACCTCATCATTCTTCAGTTGACAACAGCCTGGCCTCAAGCTTCTTTCCAAATTTCCCCACCGTTTCACAATGTACTCCAACCCTAACACCTTTGGATGGGCTCCCACTCCATTTGATAAGCACATCGTGGCCATCTCTACTTCTTGCTATTTGCTCAAGCAATATGTCTTCTCTTCCATCTAGGCTGAAATAAATACCTCTAAGAGAGCCCCACTTTGTGCATCCACCAAGGCCTCATTTAAGTTCCATCTTCCCCATAAAGCCTTCCTCTAAACCTCTGGTCAAGGATCGTCTAGCCTTCCTCTGATTTCCCAGTGTCTGTAATGTAGGTACAGTCTGGTGGGAGGACAGGGGAGTAAGGTCAGGGAGAGGGAGAAAACGACAAGGCTGTTGAAACAGGTCACAGGAGAAGCAAGCAGTCGCTGAGGAATGAGTGGCTGAAGTGTGTGGGGTCTGGAAAACCGCCGTTGAGACCGGGAACCAAAGAGCTGGAACGGGTTTGTCCGTTTCACCCTGAATCTCAGAGAAGACCAGCCAAGCCCAAAGGTCACTTCTCAGGACCACAGCCCCCACCCCATAACCATGCCTCCCCCACCCTCAATGCCATCCTCCTCCCCTCAGCGCCATGTGCATTCCCCACACACACAAAAATGCAACTGCTGACTGCGATAAAATATGCATATATTGTATACATTCCTAAAACAACATTTACTTCCATTTAACGTGATGAGCCACACTTTAGATTCACAAGAGCAATGTCCTAAAAACACAAGCCACTTCTACACTGACGATCTTTGCGGAGTCCCTTGCAAGAGTCCAGGGAGGTGGGGAGGAGAGGTGCAATGCTGCCCGCACTTGGCAGGGGATGGGATCGGGGCTCACAGCAGGCAACGGACCTGCTCAAGGCTTCACATTTTTTAAATGATTGATCAGTTTTAAAACTCCAATAACTTAAATGCAATATATTTTTCAAAAATTATTAAATAAAATTCACTCCTTTAGAAATGATAATGAGATTATCTCAGAATGCATCTTAGGACGGGAAAACAAGTCAAGCATTTCTGAGGCTTTCATTGGGCCTCAAAACAGGTGACTATCTATGGCTTTGGAGTTGAGGATTTTTGGTCCAGGTACTTCATGGCATTCTGGACCCACTTCTCCTTGGGGTCAGCACAGAGCTCCTTGGCCATTTTGGTCTTGAAGCTGTGGGGAGAGAGGAGGCAATTAGAAGGATCCTCTTTGAAACTTCTGCCCATATGACCCTAAACCTTTCAGGACCATTTGCCATGGGGCAGAGGGGTTTGGAGAGGAGGAAGGGGACAGAGGAGGGATAGGACTCCAAGGTCAGTGCTGCTCTTGATGGCCCAGGAGAGCCATCTTTGCTCTTGACTCGAAGGCACTAATATGACCTGCTCAAGTTCCCAGGCAGGGAGCAGGGGGAGAAATTTACTGCTGTGAAAATTCACAGATTGGATTATAGGGTGAAATAGTCTGACTCCAAATAACTCTGACACAGTTCTTGACTCTGTGCCTTAGACACTAGTTTTTGGTCTACGGCAGGGTGAGCTTTGTCTACTTACATCACGGCTTTCTGGGGGCATTTGCTGCCAGTGATCCTTCTGTAGCTCTCTAGTCGCTGAGTGGAGATCTTCCTGGTGGCCATAGCAAAGCAGCAGGTGGTGGGGACAGCAGCTGAATGTGGGGTAAAATGAACGGAAAGAATGAGCCTCTAACGATATACAGATATTTCCAAGTGTGAGTTTGCAAGGGAAGGAGGTAATTAGGAGAGAGTGAGAAGTTGCAGGAGGTGGCGGTAGAATCCATCAGCTCTGACATCCTGTCCCTCTGCCTGTGACTCAGCATTCTCCCCGTGCATCGGGAGCCCACCACTGCTGACCAGCTATGGAAAAGGCTTGGTCGGTGTGACAAGCTGTGGCTCTGTCATTACAAGGAGCTCTGTGGCCATGTGATAGTCATGGTACCACTCAACAAATAATCTCCATTCTCTGCTCTCTGGACACAAGGCAGACTTGCATTTCTCCACCACTTTTGTGTGGTTAGAGCCACTAATGAATTTTGACCAATAGGGGAGGAGACGAGGTGACACATGCCATTTCTGAGCCAGAATGTGTTGCCTAGGCAAGACCCTCGAGAGCTTTCTCTTGCTTTGTCACAGTCACCAGCAATGTTCCCAAGGGCACTGCTCCATCAGTTTAGAATCCTGAGTATGTATAATGCAGAAGCCCGAACCCATCCATTATAGAGGTTTAGTACGAGTGAGGAATGAGTCTTTGTTAATTTAGTTCATTTTGCTAGGCCATCGAACATTCAGCATTGTTCATCATCGCAGCATGCAACTAGCTTGACTGACGCACTCAGTAAACGTGAGCCATCAGAGGATGGGACCATGAGTTACGGAACAAACGCCTAGATATTTTTCCCAAGCAGAGTCAAATAAGTCACATCGAGAGATTTTCCTGGGACCTCATCCCCTTCTCTTAACCACTGTCTCTGAAAATTGTCCTGGATTCTAGTAAACATTCTGGGCTTCCAATCAACAGATTTTCCCAACTTCCCTCCCAAAGAAATGCCCATCATGCCCACGGTGAGAGAGGATCTTTCTTTTGTATGCTCCACCCAAAACACTGTAAATGCAGCTGGGTCACCCCTTTCAATACTCATATTCTGATGTCAGGACGTGAGGCTGAAAGTGGGGACTGGTTTCAGGGACCTGGGCCTCTAGTTCTGGCTCTTCCAGCAACTGGATGAGAAGTTGGGGCATTTGTCGTCCATGCCTGAGACCTGCTTGCCCATCTTTAAAATGCAGAGTTTGCAGCGAGTCTTTAAAGATCCTGCTCTGGAGGTGGTTCGATTTCCCTGCAAGGAGCTGGGGGGAGGGTCCTTACCTGGCTGAGCGAGGCCCTGGGGGCTGAAGGTGGCTGCCAGGAGCAGCAGGCTGAGGAGCCCTGCGGAGACCTTCATGCTGGAGTATGACGGCGAGTGAGGGGCCAGCGTCAGTCAGCGAGAGAGTGGGAGGTTTCTGTGTCGGTCTCAGCCTCTGCTCCTCTGGCTGCCTCGCCCGCTTTTTATAGAGAGCAGAGAGGGTGGGAACTTCCAGGGAAGCCTTTGCCTGGATAAGGTCGTGGTAAAGAGGGATCCCGATGGCTGCCTAAATTCCAGATCCTGGGGGTGTGAGCAAAACAAAGAGAGAGGCAAACTAGCAGGCGGGACTTGGCACATCTTTCATCTGTCCTGGGACTTGGGGTGAGAAGGAGGGGAGCATGTGATTATGAAAGACAAGTAAACATCTGTAGCGGTGTGGGGCGCGGGGAGGCAAAGAAACCGAGGGCCTGGGAGATGAGTCTATCTAAGAGCTCTAAGAGCTGTCCTAGGTCCCTGTGTTCACGGGTGGTCTTGAGGATTTTGGAGGCCAGGAAGTCATGTGCTCCCACCCAGATGCAGAGAGCTCTGCAGCTGTGACCATTGCTGGGTCTCTGTGAGCCAGGAAGGATAGCCCACAGCAGCCTCGCTCCTAGGATTTCATCCAGTGACGATAGAATCTTAGTGCCCTGGAACGCAGTGTTACGGAACGTCAGAACTGGATGGTTCCTATTCATCTTGACTGCCTGTGCATTTTGAGACTATTTGCTTAGCCACTAAAGCCTTTTTTCCAATTGGGTTCAAACCAACCTTTTTTCCTTCAATTCCTTTTTGTTGGATTGGTTTTTTTTGAGTTGGAGGGGGCGGCCCCCCACCCCCTTTTGCCTTGGCCCCCCGGGGTTTTAGGGACGGCTTTTGGAAACCCGGCCTTTTGGTTCCCCTTCCCCCTTGGGCCCCCTTCCCAGTTAGGTTTTTTGTTGCTTGAAATTTTCAAGGGGGGGGGGGCCCCGGACCCCTTCGTTACCCTTTTTTGGTTACCCTTGGGCCCCTAGTCAGAGAGGGTGTAAGGGGAGGCAAAGTCTTTAAGGGGGTCACTGCGGTGAATTACAGCATTGATACTGGCATGCAGGTGCTGCAAGGCTGTTTCCTGGCTGTTCGTGGACACTCCCATTTCAGATTGATTGATTGGTACAGGAAGCATAGATAAGTGTGTTAAGAAGGACTCTGAGGACTTGTCTTGGGTCAGTCACATACAGTATTGTACTTGACTGATGATGTTTGTCATGGGCACAGGAGAGAGTGTCTTTGCTGGCCTACGAGGTCTCTGATCGCCCACCTAGAATAATTGGTCGGTAATTACCTAAAAAAGGGACCGAGTAGAGGCCAAAAAACCTGGGCCTCCCCTCTTCTTTCCTCTCAACTCCAGGTGAGATCGTCTAGTGTAGACTCTGGATCCAGGATGCCTGAGTTTGGATGATGGCTCTGAGACTGACCAGCTTTGACACCATGGACAATGTAGAATAATTTACTTAACCACTCTGTGCAAGGGTAAGGTGAGGGATAATAATCAGGCCTACCTTAGAGGATTGTTGTCTGAATTAAATGAGTTCAGCTATATATATAAAGTGCTTAGAAGAGTGGCCAGATCACTGCAGGTGCTCAGTGAGTGAAAGTTAATATTTAGTATTATTGGGATGTGGGACAGAGTTTGTGGACCGGGCGATGCTGGAAAGGGACTCAGGGTCTGTGCAGATGGTTCTCTTCGTATATCCTTCCAAATCTTTCCACTGCTTCCAAGTAAAGACACACCACCCTAGGGATGGTTTCCATGAATTTCTGAGTTGCATGCGTGGGGGATGTGAGGTCTCAAAAATTGTGTCAGAACAAGAAGTTTGGAATGCTCTTGACATCAGAAGTATTTGGCTGACATGGTTGAGTGATTCTATTTCTTTAGTAGGAATTGTTTCATAACTCTGTTGGGAGTGGTTTTCCATTTTTGTGTTTTCCTCCTTGGGTTTTGGATTTAATCTGAACCAGAGAAACCTCAGTGGAAATAAATAAAATCAATCTTTTGATATCTAAGTCCTGCAGCTGTTTCATCCCGCTGCCTGGCTTCCTCTAGCAAGTGGGGGCAGCTTCGTGGGCTTTATTTTTCTCTTTCTTCCTTAGGGGCTTCTGATTCAGCAGTGACCTAGAGTAGATCCACTACTTGCCTGTGGCTTGGGGTCTGATGAATGGAGGGCGTGGGTCAGAAATGACCCTGAGTGATGGGCAGGAGACGGGTCCCCCACTGTGAAAACGAAACCTTGGCTGCTTAAGTGTCTTTCAAGGAATGGCGAATGATGAGTAGAACAGGATCCCAGGAACCAGGACTCCTGGCTTTGTTTCGCAGGTCTACCTCAGATTTCCTATAACATTAAACATTTATAGACAGAATTGAAAGAGACATTGACATTTACTTTATTCCAACCCACTCTTTAAAAAATAAAAGAAAATCAGTAAGACAAAATCCCTAAGACAACTCGTATGTTTTACACTGAGCCGATTCTAGAGTCCAGGCTCTTGACTCAGGACCATGTAGGGTTCATTATCTCTCCTTCTCTAGGGTCCCTGAGACAATGTCTGAAGTTTCTTGTCCCTTTTGGAGGAAAATTGCCCCGAACTATATGTTAGTATAAAAATTCTAACAATATGTCTTGCAAATTGCAAGTTGTCAATAACAAGGCTAACCTATGCAATCTATGCAACGCACTATATTATTCCATTTCACGTAAGTTGGCTTATTTAATCCTTTTAATAACCTCTTCTAACTAAGTCCATTTTAAAAATGAGAAAATGGAGACTTAGAGAAATCAAGTTATCTTCCTCTTCTGCGAAATCATTTATGAAAGGGAAGCCTGTTTCTCAGAGTTGCCTTGAGAAAATCTAAAGCTTATTTATTTAAAATACTCCTACTGCTATATACAGCAGCACAATTCACAATCACATAGACGTGGAAACAACCCAAGTACCCATTGATTAATAAAATGTGGTATATGCATATCGTGGTGTACTACTCAGCCATAAAAAATAATAGTGCACTAATAACTTTTGTAACAACCTGGATGGAACTGGAGATCATCCTTCTAAGTGAAGTATTGCAAGAATGGAAAAACGAACACCACGTGTACTCACTATTAAATTGGAACTAAATGATCAACACTCATGTGCACATGTGGTAGTAAAAGTCAATGGAAATCAAGAAGGTGGGAGGGGGAGGAGGGGATGGGTAAATTCACATCTAACAGGTACAATGCACACTATCTGGGTGATGGACACACTTATAACTTTGACTCAAACTGTATAAAAGTAATTCATGTCACAAAAATGCTTGAACTCTGGTAATTTTCTGAAATTTAAAAAAGAACTTAAAAAATATTCTTACTGCTATATTATCTCATATAATCCTCTTGGGGTAATCAACTTTATCCATGTACAGAGGTGAAAACTGAGGCACAGAGTGCTGTAGCTATTCCCCCAGGCCAACCGGTCATGGCAATGCTAGTCCATGCTTAAATAATCACAATGACAACAATCTCAGCAGCTTACTGCAACACGTATTTACTTTTATGTCACAGACTGATGTTGGTTAGGCAGCTTGCCAAAAGTGCTTTTTCTAAGGAGTGACTCAGAGATTCAGGCTGCTTGTGATTTACAGCTGTTGTTTGGAACATGAGACCTCCAAGTTTACCAAGGTGAGAGGAGAGAGGGTTGACAGATTGTGTAGGATGTTGTGACGAGTCACACATAGAAGCAGCTCGCATCACTTCTGCCTATAGTCCATTGGCCTTAACTCATCACACAACTCCAATAAAACTTCAAAGGAGATTGAGAAATGAAGAGGGACACATGAATATTTGGTGAAGGCGAATAGTTTCTATCCTTTGAATCTGAATAGAATAGAATCTGTCCTTTGCTCACTTCTCACACATGGAGAACACAATTAGGCCATCCCCAGGAGAGACAACCCCAAGTTCCCTTTAGTCACTGTGTCAGCCGAAATGTGCAGGCTCTCTTAACCATGAGGGGTCCTCTCTTTCAGATGAGGAGATGGATCTACTTTGTCCAGTGACCTGTGAACTAAAAAGACAAATTACTTGCCCCTTACCCAGATTATCAAGTTTGAGAAGGACAGGGTGTTTGTAATGAACACCCCCATTTATGGAGGGGAAGATGGTCCACGGTCCACGGCCAACACTTGGTAGCAAGCCTGCAGCCCTTCAGGCAGATGTCGTGAAAGCCCTCCACCCTTGATTAGGCTTGCTTCTTGGGAAGCTGTCCTGTCTCTTCCATCCTGGCTCCTGGTTGTCTTCAGGACACTGCTCCTTTTCCACTCTTCCCCTTGGCCTCCTCTGAAATGGGCTTCGAAGAGAGACATGCTCTTCTTGGGGCTCTGCAGCCTTTGAGGACTGCTTGCTGTACTGTAGGCCTTGGAGTTTGTTTTCTCTTGACCTTTTCAAGCTCACTCATGGTTTCATTGACAATATAGTACAGTTCTTTCAGTACCTTAGTAGGCCTCTGATCTCTTTGCAGGACATCAATTCCATATGCCAGCAGCCACACCCACTTTCCTTTCTAGACATACTTCTCAAATTATTCTTCTGCCCGCTCTTCTCTTCTCCTCTCCTCTCCTCTCCTCTCCTCTCCTCTCCTCTCCCCTTCTCTTCTCTTCTCCCTCTCTCTCTCTTTCTCTTTCTCCTCTTAATGAGGCTATTAGGCTTGAAGTAGAAGGCTACAACTTCAGTCTGATTTTTGTTCTATGTCACCTCATTCAACTAAGTTTTTTTTTCCTGGACTTCTATCACTGATTTTTTTTTTTTCATCCTTAAATACCTTTTCTTAATGTTTGGGACCTAGAAACAGATGGTTTTTCCAACACGGTCCTGAATTTGTGGACTTTATTCTCTTTCATTTCTGCTTTAAGTTTAGCTAATTTTTCCTGAGCTCATCTCTTTCTTGTAGTACTTTAACAAATGTAGCCAAAAACAACCAACTTACTACTAATGCATATTTTTCAAACTTTCTCCCTTGGAGCCACAATTTCAGCAGACAGGATCTGACAACATTGAAACTTTGTAACATGAATATCCATCTTTTCAACCTGGGATATCAGCTTCCTCGCCGTCTGCTACTGAATGTCTTAGTCAGTGCTACACATTTCAGGTTTTTAATGGCAGTACGTGATCATGGTACCAATTCTTCTATTAATCAGGGTTAAGCTAAGCTCCAAACTTCAGTGGCTTAACACAACAAATGTTTAATTCTTTCTCATCTTACAGCTCAAGATGGGCGAGGTGGCTGTCCTGTAAGCAGTGGCCAGTGATTGGGGAGTGCTTCCACCTTGAAATTGAGATATATGGAACACATTGCCCCGAGGTCACCACAGCAGAGGAAGAGAGGGCTGGAAGCATGAGTTGTTTACAGGGACAAAGTGTGAAAGTGGATTACATCATCTGAGTGCTCACCCAGTTGGTTAGAATTCATTCACACAGCCCCCAAGTAAATGCAATTTAGGCTCAAGTTTTTTAGGCTGGAGAACATAGAAGAGCCCATGGATACCTGGTGGGCATTTATAGTCTCTGCTCCTTCAGGACTGGTGCATGTCCAACAGCCAAGTCTAGGAGGTGGGAAAGTTCCAGCAAAAGACACTCTTTATGTCTAAGTCAGAGGCCATAGGTCAAGCCCAGAGACTACATTGATCTGAAAAAGAGAACATCGGGGAACCTCAAAGTGTATCCATCCCTGGTCCCCAGATATGGCTGAGAACTAGGTAAAAAGGTAGAAGGATCACCCTCCCCACTCAACACTCCATACCAAAATCTTTATTGATGGTGCCTGGAAATCTGTGTTTTTTATTATTATTAGTGTCCAAGTGATGTTAATGCCAATATGGGAGCCATTGAGCTACTGAACATGTAGATTATGTGGAGACCTCGTCAGGCAAAGTAACTTGCCCAAGTTTACTAGGCACACTAGTGGTATAACCAGACTAATCTATGAATCCCGGTGAACTCGATGCCTGGTTATGTATCAGCCTCTCTTCCTGGTCATGGGATTTCTCTCTAATTCTCTGTGCCCAAAGAGGACAAGAGCCCCCAGGCCTGCATGAAGACAAATGAATTTAGAATTCCTTGGAAGTGAAAAGATAAGGCTTGACAAAGATAGTTGGAGCAGATTCTGTTTGGTCTTGGGCACACGGAGCCCTTCTCTCCTTGCCTGTCCTACTGTCCGACACTGTGCTTAATATTTGCCTGTGCCAGGGGCTCGCTGTGTCTCATTAGGCTGTAGCAGCTATTCGTCTCCCTTCCTAATGCTGTCTGCCTCTTGGTTGTTCTCTCCTGGAATTTGAGAATACATCCCTTATTGGGTGTGAAATTAAATAATTCAGGCATAAAGCCATTCAAACTTTAAATTATTCTGAGCCTTGAAAGGAATGTGGCTATGCAACCTGAGTTGCCTGACATGCAGCTGCAGCTTCTGCCTTTTCTTATGTATATAAATAATTAGGAAGACCAAGCAGCACCAGAGATAAGACCCCTCCGATCACTATGTCTCCTCAGTGAGTAATAAAGTAATAAAGTGATCTTCCTTGGAATGTAGCAGTCCGTAACCAATCAAGTTGCTGTGGCATACGCCCCTGGTCTTGCTTGGAAAATGTTGCAATTCTACTAGAACTACTCTAACTCTGCCTACAGATTGAAACCTCAGCTTTTCCACTTTGGAAACACAGACTCCAAATAAATAGACTCCATTCATTTGGAGTCTGTGTTTCTCAGTGGCTATCCTCAAGCTTTGCACTTGAATAAGCTCTGAACGCAACCACATTTTTGAATCTCATTAGTTAGGGTTGGCGTTGGTGCTTGGGGATGAGGACTGTGGGCTGGAGAAGACGGAGAAAGTGCTGTTGGACCTGGCCCCCGAGCATCAATGTTGGCAGTGAATGGTCACCGATGAATTGCTCCTTGCCTCTGAAGTGTCTGATGTCACCTGACACCTTGGGATTTTAACCTGGTGCTTCGATAGAAATCCTGTCTCCAAGAAGCTCAGCTTGCAGGTATCAGGGGTTTGTCAATATCCTGTATTGGGTGCAGGACCCTCCCATTCCCCACTCCTCAACCTGTAGACATGGAATTTTTTTTTAAAGCACATGGTTTCCAGATGGGGGAGGGAATGTTGGCAAGGAAGAAAAGGTATTTGAACAAGTGGCTGAAGCTGCTGGCAGACCTGGAGCTGTGCAGTTGGCTCAGCCTGGCCCTGAGCTGTCTGTCCTTCCATGACACGCAGGCGAGTTCAGGCTAGGGGAAGTCCCGGGGGCCCATCCCATGCTTGTTCCTCCACAATGCGAACCCACCCTCTGCAGCCATGCCTTCCTCCCTGTCACCCCACTGCCCCCCACCCCAGCTTTATTTTATCCTTTAAAGAAAACATCAAAGTCAGGTGTTATACAAAACTATATTTTATGAATTTAATAAAAATTCAAGATTCATACATATAAATATATTTAATTCTATAATAACATTATGGTTTCATAGGGCCATCACCTGCTAACATTAAAAAAAAAAAAACTTTGCATTGATTTTCGCAAGGAACCTACCGAATACCATTAAGAGGTAGAGAGGGGAGTGGCATCCCATAGTATTTATAGGACTGAAGTGACATGATGTGTCCAAGGCTTTACATTTAAAATTCACCAAAATCAATGACGGATTAAATTAAAATATTAACTTTAAAACACATTGAAGTAAAACTGTGATTCACATTATCACACGATGCTCATATTCCTTAGAATTATAATAAATTAATATCAGAACAACCCTCAGAAAGGATAGGAGATACAAATTGTTTCTCAAGTCTTGGCTGGTTTCAGTTCAGGCATGAGTGTTCAAAGATTTGGAGTTTGGATTTGCTTGTCCAGATACGCCGTGGAATCCTGGACCCACTTCTGTGTGGGGTCAGCACAGACCTCCTTGGACAGTTTGGTCTTGAAGCTGTGGGCAGAGAAGCATAGTTTGATAGAGCATCTTGAGGATTTGACCTGGGGATATAACCTGCTCTATGGGAAGCCTGCCTGGTCCTTTAGCCCAGAGGATGGGGGTGCCTTGGGACAGACGAGGAAGATGACAAGATAGAGGAGGGAGCCTCAGGGAGGCAGCTGCTTTTGCTGACCCAAGTGAGGCCACCTTGGCTCCTGGGTGAAAGAACTGAGATCAGAACCAATGGCTGGAAAGGGAGCTAGGAGCAGAAGTCACTTTCTTTTCTTGGATTCATTTTTTCCCCTGGAAAAATTCTGGAATTGAATTAGAGATGGTCTGAGCATCTGAGTGCTTGACTCTAGCCCATTCTGATACTAGCCCTATCCACTGCCGCAGGGAAGAACTTGGGAGTGAGGGTCGAGGGTGGGCGGTCCTGGCTCACTCACATCACGGCTTCCTGAGGACACAGGCTGCTGGAGATTCTTTGGTAGCTCCTCAGCCTCTGGATTGGGATCTTCTTATTGGTGAACCTATAGCAGCAGGTGCTTGGGGTATTAACCCCATCTGCAATGAAACAATAACAAGGAAAGACTCTTGAGGGTGTGTTCTGGATCCTCCTATTTGTAAAATAGGAAATGTAAGAAGGTGTCAGAGAGAAAGCTGCCCACCCCACGTCCAACGTCTCTGCCTTTCAAGACGGTCCTTAAAATCTCTCTTGCATTCGTGGGCTATAAAGTAGGAATGCATCACCCATAACAGGTGGAAGAGAAACTGAGAAAATGCTAGGTGTTGCGAATATAACAGGGCTAATGTAACAGTCCAATGCTTTAGAGAGACGGGGACCCCAGCTTTGGGTCCCTTTTAGGCTTGTAGCAGTCTGTGCCTGGTTGTGAGTTACCCTGATACCCATTGCCCCACAGAGCCTCTGCCTCTGGAAGCCAGAGCTGAATGAAGCATAGACCAGGTTCTGTGTCTCCTCTCCCCTCCCTCATGTCTGGAAACAGCCTGCACACCTACCCCAGACACCCCCTCTCTTTGATCACCCTGGTCCCCAGACTCTGCTGGAAGCAGCTGGGGCAGTAACCGCATTGAGGATGTTCCCAGGGCTGGAGTCCCAGGAGGAGCTGGATGTGGGGTCCACAGCTGGACTTGTAGCTCAGGCTCTGTCTGGGAGCAGCTGTGAGATTGGACTCAGTCCTTGTCCTTCTCTGAGTCGCCTTATCTTGGAAAAGCAGCTGTTAAAGCGGGACTGTGGGTACCCCTCCTGCTAGGATGGTCCGTGATGCCCCAGAGAGGGGGTGGTGTGCTCCTAGAGGATGGAGGGGAGCCCTTACCTGGCTGAGCAAGGCCCTGGGGGCTGAAGGCGGCCGCCACTAGCAGCAGGCACAGGAGGGCAGCAGAGACCTTCATGCTGGAGGGCGAGAGGAGCGCTGTGAGCTTCAGCGGGAGAGCTGGAGGTTCTGGGTTGGTCTCAGCCTCTCTGCTCCTCTGGTGTCTCCGTCTGCTCTTCTGGTGGCTGTCGCTGCCTTTTATAGACAGGAGTAGAGAAGGGGTGGGGCCAGAGGCCTTTGTTATTCTAAATGAATCACAGGATGGAGTAGCAAATCTGCCTTCCCCTGGGGAAAATGATAGGAAATCGAGGGAGGAAAGTGTGAGTCAAGGGTGGCCTGCTTCTCACCGAATACCAGGGGTGGCGGGCGAGGGATATGCCTGAGCAGCCCACGGCATGTGATCTGTGGCTATTATTTACCGCTTAGCTCCTTTGAAATGAGACACATTCCGTAGAAAAAGGAAAGAAGCAGGGATGCCAAGGTCAAGGAGTTGCAAGTGATCGCCCCCTTTTCCCTCTCAGGCAGTACCCAGGACCCCAGAGTCCACAAAGAGGCACCGAACCTTTGGCCGGACTCTACAATGGACTCTAAGATTTTTCACCGTCTTACATCCTGGTGGCTGTCAAAAACCCAGAGAATAACAGAACAATGGAAAAATAGAAGAAAAAGAGAAAGAAGCATTTTTAGAGTAACGGTACTTAAAACGGTAGTGTCTATTCTAATAATCTATCGCTGCGTAACAACCCTGCTGAAAACGGTGACTTAAGACACTAACAATAATTTATTTTGCTCTTGAATATGAGGGTCAACTGGCCTCAGCGAGGCGGTGCTTGCTCAGGGTCTTTCGTGTCTTTGCATTTCGATGATGGCTAAGATTCGGGTCATCATGAGGTGTTCACACAGTGTGTGGGGTTTGGGCGAGGTCTTCACACAGCGTGTGGGGTTTAGGCGGGGAGGACATAAACAGCTGGCCCTTAGACCACTTGGAGCTACTGGGTCTCTCTGTCTCTGTCTCTCTCTCCCCCTCCCCATGGTCCTTCCACATGGCTAGATATTTTATATGGTGGCTTAAGGATCCCACGTGCAAAGATAGGGAGCATAGACCACATCTCTTAATGGGAGGAGTGTAAAAGAATTTGCACACACATTTTAAAACCACTATCTGTCTCATGTGCTATCAGAACTGCATGGCTTATAAAGATCTTAGAATGCTGTGGTTTTAAAAATATGATTAGCTATGAAAATATTTTTTTAAGGAGAAGAATACAAAGAAGTGAAATTTATGAACAACATCAGAGTACCCTCAGTTTGAAGCTCGGACAAGAGACTCCATGTCTCCCTCCCCACACACAAATCTCAGAGACACAAAATGTAGATTTTGGAGACCACTGATCTAGTTTTCCATCTCACACACGCATTACAAGATCACCAACTAATCGCTGATGATGTTAATGAAAAGGGGTTTGATGAGCGACCATGCATGGCCTCCATACACCTGTAACTGTACCACCCGTGCTGGCCATGGGATGCAAAGGAGGAAAATTCTTCAGTGGGTGAGACTGGAACATTTTACAACCTCAAACATTGACTTGGAAGCAATTCAAGCCTTTGATGTAAGGCTTGAGCTTTTCGTAAAGTTTATTCTTACCTCTGTGACTTTGCTCAGGCTACTCACTCTACTCAACTCTTTTTCAAATTGCTATTACTCCCAGTTCTAGAAATTGGTGAAGATTGAGCTTGCTTCCTACTTCCTTATCTGTGGGATCCCTGCCCACTCTGATGTAACACGTTGTAACAGCATACTTTGTAACCAAGTGTGTATGTTTCATCTGCTTGGCACTTCTAAGAAGCAGAACTCATTCTTTCCATTCACTTTTTTTTTTTGAGACAGAGTCTCACTCTGTTGCCCGGGCTAGAGTGCTGTGGCATTATCACAGCTCACAGCAACCTCAAACTCCTGGGCTCAAGTGATCCTACTGCCTCAGCCTCCCGAGTAGCTGGGACTACAGGCATGCGCCACCATGCCCGGCTAATTTTTTCTATATATTTTTAGTTCTCCAGATAATTTCTTTCTATTTTTAGTAGAGACGGGGTCTCGCTCTTGCTCAGGCTGGTCTCAAACTCCTGAGCTCAAACAATCCGCCCGCCTCGGCCTCCCAGTGTGCCAGTATTACAGGCGTGAGCCACCTTGCTCAGCCTCCATTGACTTTTGTATTTTTTTTTTATCTTGAAGACAGCTATCATGGATAACCTGCTGATGACCTACAAATTAGGAGTAGAACACAGGAGTCCTGCCCAGAAATTACCTTTCCTGGGTGGGTCTGGTCAATAGGTCAAAGTATTCATGGGCTTCAGTTGATGCAACGCCTCTCCTTCATAAATCCCCAAACTGAAGTCCTCCAAGATGTCTCTGCCTAACACCCCAGAGAAAATGCCTCCCTGTGTTCATGATGAAAAAGCCTGTGCTTGTCACAACCGCAGGAGCTTGGAATAGGAGAAATAAAAGAGGCTGTCGAATTGTTGCAGAATTTTATAAAAACTTTTTAATGATTTAAAGACAATATCAGCTGATTGTAGATCAGCTGATGGCAAAATTAGAAACACTTAAAAAAATAAAGGACAAAATCGTTTTGCATTATTACTAACACGCAAAGATATGTGGTTAATTTTCTTTTAGATTAAAAACGTATTTTAACCCTTTATCATTATGAATATTCTTCTTTGTCTCTAGTAACGATTTTTTGTCTACATTCTATTTCTCTGATATTAGTATAGCCACTAGCTCTCTTTTGGTTACATTTTGCATGGGGTAAACTTACTTTCAAATTATTTGAGTTTTTGAATTTACAATGTATGTCTCGTAGATAGCATATAGTTGGTTTATTTTTAAAATCCATTCACCCAATCTTTGCCTTCAGTTGGAAAGTTTAATCCTTTTACATTTAGTGTAATTAATGATAAGGTAGGATTATCATCTGATTTTTTTTTGTTTTCTATATGTTTATATCTTTTTTGTTCCTCAATTCTTCCTTTACTGCTTTATTTCATGATACATAGAATTTTTAGTGTACCGATTCCTTTCCTTTATCTGTTGTTGTATATTCTGAGTGTTTTCTTAGCAGTCACCCTGAGTATTACCATTAACATCATAATTTATAACAACTCATTTCAGATTAATACGATTTTAGTTTCAATAGTATACAAAAATCTTGATCCTTTTATAGCTCCATTCCCTTCCTTATCTTAATGTTGTTACAGTCACAAATTATACCTTTATATATTGTGTTCTCTTCAGCATAGATTTATAAGTATTGCTTTATGCATGTGTATTCTAAATCACATACAAGAAGCAAAAAAGTAGTTATAAACAAACAAAAAACATTTATATTTATACCAATAATCTAGCTTTCACCAATTGGATATAAGCAGATTACATGTGCCATCTCTCAGCGGAAGTTAATAGCCATCCTGTGGTTCCACCATGGCTTCCCTTTCCCCCTTAACTATGAGGATGGCATGACCCAGATGAGGTTGTCCCTTCAACCTGGATCCCATACTGAAGAAGATATATGGAACAGAGAAATGGCAAGGTTTACAAGACATGAAGAAAATATGATGCTAACATTAGGGAAAGCTAAATGAGGAATATACAAGACCCTTTGTACTATTTTTGCAACTTTTATAAGTCTACCATTTGTTCAAAATAAAAAGTTTAAAACACAACATTAAAAAAAACTTATGAGATACAGAGAAATCTATGCTAAGTGGGAAGTATATAGCTGTAAATGCTTACATTGGAAAGAAAAGATTTCAAACCAACAGTATAACTTTATGCCTTGAGGAACCCAGAAAAACAAAACTAAACCCAAAGCTAGAAAACTAAACCCAAAGCTAGAAAGAAAATAACAGAGATTAGAGCAGAGATAAATGAAACAGAGAATTAAAAAAAAATAGAAAAAAAATCAATGACACGAAAAGTTGGTTTTTTGAAATGATCAACAAAACTGACAAACCCTTAGCTAGATTAACTGAGAAGAAAACAGAGAAGATTCCAATAACTAAAATCCAAAATGTAAGAGGGGACATTATGACTGAGCTGTAGAAGTAAAAAGGACGATTAGAGAATACTGTGAATATTACATGCCAAAAAATTGTGTAACCTAGAATAAATGGATAAATTCCTAGAAACATACAGTCATGAAGAAACAGAAAATCTGAACAGATCCATAACTAGTGAAGAGATTGCATCAGTAACAAAAAAAAACCTCCCAACAAAGAAGAGCTCAGACCAGATGGCTTCACTGGAGAATTCTACCAAACATTTAGAGAGGATCTAACACCAATACTCCTCAAACTCTTCCAAGATATTGAAGAGGAGAAAACACTTCCAAAGTTATTCTACGAGGCCAGGAGTACCCTGATACCAAAGCCAGATACAAAGACACTGCAAGAAAAGAGAACTATAGGTAAATATCCTGATGAATATTGATGCAAGAATCCTCAACACAATGAACGGCCAACAAGCATTTGAAAACATGCTCGACATCACCGATCATTAGCAACATGCAAAGCAAAACCACAGTGAGGTACTACCTTCCCCCATTAGGATGGCTAGTATCAAATAGACAGAAAATAACAGCTGTTGACAAGGATTGTAGAGAAACTGGAACACCTGTGTACTGTTGGTGGGAATGTAAAATGGTGCAGCCACTATGCACAACAGTATGGCAGTGCCTCAAAAGATTAAAAATAAAATTACTCTATGATCTAGCAGTCATACTTCTGGGTATGTATCCAAAAGAA